GCGCGCATTTGTTCGCACATTTCGTACACGTACAATTGCATATCATACATGTTCAAAAGAGCAATCAAAGACTTTATGTACATTTATACAAAGATACAAGCGGCACGCAAACGAAGCGAAATAAACAACACCACCAACAAAAAAACACGGCCAAAAATCAGCAAGAGATTTTTACAATTTGCTATAAAAATCAAATTTGCAGCAAAAAAATAATCCAATAAAAAATGTTGAATCGCTTGGTGTTGTAGACGCTCATCGTGAATTCTGTCGCCTTAATAGTTTCAGAATAATTTTATATCCAAAGAATCAAATCAACTTGATAGTTCATAAAGTGAAACACACACATAATATACACATAAGTGATCGCCTTGAATCAGGTAATCCAGCTTAAACACATCGATTAACATTTGAATAGGTGCGTATGCGTTCGCGATTCTCCATCGTTAGCTTACACCGCTTTCTAAATAAATGCAATAATTTTTTTAAAATTTACTTCGTAAATCAAATACGAAATGCACGTTTTATGATTGTGCGATATCAAAATGTCAATTTATCGCATGATTATCATCATCGAAAGAAAAAAAAAATTAAAAAGGAGACTTATTGAAATTTTTCAAAATTACCATTCATAGACGCAATCAACATACACAGTTTTCAACAATTATCCGAACCATAAAATCGACTTAATTACGATGAATCAATGCAAATGACCGAAACATTTAGTTTTTTTTTCTTTCAAATAAACACTATTTACGAGTAACGGTAATTGCGCGGTTAATATGAGTAGTGCAATAAGAATATATCATTGGTATAAAAGAAGTTGTGAATCTATCGCTATGGCATTAAAAACGTTGGAAATAAACAAAAAAAAAAAGATTTCTCAAAAAAATATCCCTCCGCTAGCTCAACAATTATACACTGATCGACAAGCATTTCAAAAGCGAAAAAGCCAACATAATTCAGAATCTACTAGAAGTTCCAGTATTTCCATCGTCTGAAGTATTGCAAATTCAATGATGTGTATAATTTTGACAACCACTCAATCAAATTGCGTTTTGGCAATATTTTCTGAATAAAAAAGTCCAACCGTAGTCAGTTGAAAACCTTCAACAAAAAACATTTGGTTTCATAAGAAAATAGAGGGACTTGCACACGAATCTAATGTAGATAAATTCATGCTATAATTTTATTAGCGAAAAATATCAACGCATAATTTTCTAGGCAAATAATTGCCATGCGGCATATAAAACTTTTTGCCAATTAAACATTTCGAATGATTGAAATTCTTTTTGAGGTAAGCAATTAAAAGTGTCAAGTGGAATTCCAGTCGCTTGTTGTTGTTTTTTTTTTTCACTCAAAAGCTAATTCTTTTTTGGCTTGTTGATGCATTGGTTTGTATTGTCGCCGTCAAAAGAGGAGATGATAGAAAGAAAGAGCATAGAGAATTCAGAGATTATTTGAGATTTTGAGTGTGCATCCTTTAAATTGTCGTGCCATTTGTCACTTGCAGTACCATAAGTAAACATAGAAAATGCATGTGAACATCTGGGTTCACAACTAAAGTCAATCCACTTGCAACACACTCTCCCAAGACACATACTATATTGTTGAATATGAACAGTACCATGTTTTTCATTCAGCACCAATTTAAAAAATGCCACCAATTAATTTAGTTCAAAGGGCATAGCGCTTTGACAATAAGACAGATTCAACACGAGCCACTTAATCCATAAAAAAACCAGCAGCAACAACAACAAACGATGAGATATGATGAGTTGGTATTACATTGTGTCGTTTTAACGTTGTGATTTTTAATGCCGTTCAATTCTCTTTTTCGCTTCATGTAGTTTAAAACACAAAAAAAAAAACTAACAATTTTTGTTCGTTCTTCGTTTTCGGATTTTTTGTTTCGGCTTTATCGATCGTGTAATTCGCATCTCTCTTGCTGATGTTTCTGTTGGAATGAAGATTGTCGATAAAAAAAGAGACATCAGTTTTTTAATTGCATCTTCTTGCACCACTACTAAATTACATTGCACATCTTTTTGATTTACATACTTTTATTCCTATTTCTTTTAGCCCAAGCTAATAATAAATCAACGGCAGTTCTTGTTTTATTTTCGACTTTTTTCTTCTTCTTCTTTTTCTTCTTAGCGCTCAGAGACACTTTCGTCTCGAAAATTGACTGCGGATTGTTATGCGACAAAAATTATTCAACCCAAAGAATTATTCGCTTCTCTTACGATCGTTTTACACTCTCTTTCTCTCTCTCTCTCTCTCTCTCTCTCTCTCTCTCTCTCTCTCTCTTATACACATAATCCTTTTGATTTTGCACACCAAAGAGAGATGCTGTTGTAATATCAACGTGGCACCGAACCGAAGAACATGTATCGTCGTCGTCAATGAGAAAACGGAGAGCAATTCAAAAATTAAATGAAAATCACGAAAAGCGACGGAAAAGACATAAACGCATACAAGAGGAAAACATTTTTAACGATTATTTATATTTCACAGCCTGCGAAAGGGTTTTATTCATTCAATAAGAATTATAGTTTTATTTCGCCGTACAACCGCTTCAAAAAGTCTCGTCTCCAAGAGAATAGAAGCATTTCCAAATCGATTTCCATCAGATGGAATCCATTTCTCATTGTATAACGCTTAAACAAATGTCGAATCTTGCCGAGAAAAATGAAAAACAATATGCAGATTTAAGGCAAACTACACAAACGTTTAACACAAAAAATTGAATGAATTAACAATAAAATTACGCACGCCAACATGTAAATGTTAATTTTAAAACCAATGGACTTATGAACCAAAGTTGATAATGCTAGTTTCATTGCATATTTTACCAAATCAAATTGTGCAATGGGCCATGTACTATGCCAAGAAGTCAGCGAACAATTCACAACAAGATCAATGCGAAATTGTGTGATGATGATGATGGCGACGACGACAAATAGCAATAACAACAACTATTCTTGGTGAACGAAATTCTCTAAAAATGAGAAAGATTGAGTGTGCACACACATATGTATACGCACATTCGCAATATATGCGCGCCCCAGTCGGTTCTGGCTGTCGTTGCACATTCAGCAAGTGAAGGAAGATTTATTGAAGCAATTTTAAATTAATTGTATGCTCTTGCATACATTTGTTTATTTTTTTTTATTTACACATTACCCATGTACTGCATAAATATCGCCTTTTTTGTTGTTGTTCGTTTTCTTCTTCTTGATATGTTTGCTCCACAGGTTTTGTGATTTTTCGCCGTACATCGTAAAAATTGAAATTGAACGTGTGAAATTCACTTCGTCGAAATGTTGTTCCAAAACATTCAAATGCCATTTCTTTCTTGAGTATTTTTGTTTCGATAAGCCGTTAACAACAAGCTGCAGCTCACTATGTCCATCTCATTGAACCTTTCAATACATTCAATTGATGTAATTTACACAAATAGTATGATTTTTTTTTTCATTTTTAAAAAAAGGCAGATGTTTGGATTTTTTTTTAAATGCCTTGTTGATTATATGCGTATATGTCTTGCAAATGAAAGAAGACGCAAAAAAACTACCGTATTAGCGTAATTTGAAAATGACATTGACCACTGTTATCAACATATGAACATTCGAAATAATGTGTTCCATTTGATTTGCATGCACACACATCAGTCAATATAATAATAATATATGTTTATAAATTGCAGCCCGACGATTCTTTTCGTCGCTTATTCTCTGTGTGTCACTCGCACACTTGCTCTGAACTGAATTTTGTTCTCTTTTTTTTTTTTTAATATTCTTCGACTCAATCGGAAATGCTTGTACTGAAATGAATGAATAAAATCCCAATGATATATGTGCACAAACAGTGTGCGTATTTGCGATTTTAATGTTTTTGTTGGCCTGTTGAATGTTGTTATGCCTTCAGTTCGGTTTCAATGTTCTTCTTGTTCTTCTGGTTCTTTTGATCATACTTTTCTGCTCAAAGATTTCGTGTTCAAGTGGTATTTGAGTGCGTTCTTTTTCCTTGGTCTAACCGTCTAAGAGATTTTTTTGACAGACAAAAGCATAAAAATAAGGAGACCTTTTCGTTTGTATACATTTTTTTTTTCGAATTGTATTGAGCAGAAGTCACATGTGAAGCTAGATTACTTGAGCAATTTTTTTTTTATTGTCTTAAATTCGTCATGAGATGCATTATTTCGGGATTATTGATGGTTTTTTCTCGTAATGTGAACGAAAGCCTTAACTTTCTCAAATGGTATAGATTGGTATAGATGACGATCGTCGGTCGACCGATATTCATGTGGGAGATCACTCAAGCGGCATTTCGTCAATGACACCAAATTTGCACCGATCATTTTCAACACGAAGCATTCAGAATGTTTCACATAAATAAAAGAGCACCCACAGCAATAATCATACATGAGCACCCAATCCCTCTCTCTCTCCCTCTCATTCAATCTTTGCATCGGTTGTATTGTGGAACACTGAAAAATTCCATCGACTGTGAAACACACCAAACGATCCGAGCACATCACACAAAAAACACAGTGTTTGATCATATTTCTTGTATTTCTGGTGCATAGTTTTGTTTTATATGAGTATTGAGTGGTCGGTGCATGGCGATTTTGGTTGTTACTATTTTTTCTTTTCTCTCTTTCTCTTACTCTATCTATCTCCGTTTGCTCGCTTTATTGGCATTGCTGCCCTGTAATTACATGTTGAATTGGCGAAATAAAACCAAAATGATACAGCTAAAGGGTAATAATCATATAATACAAATGATATGATACCAAACTGAGAAATAACAAATCCGTGAGCCATCCGAAAGCAACATGAGCAACCTAATGAATAAAAAAAAGAGAAGCAGAAAGAAAGAAAGAAAGATAAAAGAAGCTCATCGCAGCCAGCGTACAGAATGCAAAGAGTTCAAAATATAATGCAGGTTTCGAGAGATGTATAGCATTGAATGCAATCAAACGGGAACCGGCATTAACAATGATACCAGAAACAAAACCTCAACAATATCAACAGCAACACAGCTTTAAAACAGAAAATATGATGCAGAAAATCACCTCACAAGAAAGAGTGTGTGTGTGCGCGCGCACGAACAAAAATTGCACTCACAAAGAGAAAGAAGTAGATAACACACAAACTTTACAGTCTTGTTTGATATTTCGACTTTTTTCAATATCATTCGTTTTTCATTTCTTTTTGTGAGTTTTTATTATTGCAGCAGTTGCATTTGCCGCCGTCGTCGTCGTCATCACCATCATCATCATCATCATCATCATCATCGTCGTCGATGTTCTTGTCGTTCTTGTTGCTGGCTACATATTCGTCTCTCTTTGCTCTCTTTCACGATCTTTGGCTGTATGTTTATATGTTTTTTTTTCTGTGATTACCTTTTTTTATTATTGATTCATTTAAAAATGCATATAAAGTTGATATTCTGCCTGAAGTCTCCGCCAAGAAAGTTAAAATAATACTATGCACTTTTATTGTGCAATTCGATATCTTTTTTCTCCTTATATTTTCCTTTACTCTCTGCAATTTTCTTCTAAATGCTCAAATAAGCACGTATCCGGTTCAAAGACAATCACTTGCTGGTGCTTTTTTTCGGTGCGCGTGTTTTTCTCGTCAATGTTTTTTTTCTCTCGGATTTTGAATAAATTTTTCATTTATCATCCCATTTTAAAACATTTTTATGACTAAATGCTATAAAAATCAATGATGGAGAGAAGAAAAAGGGTTATCAGAAGGTTCTGATTAGAATAAATAAATCTCTCTTCATCTTGTATAGTAATTTTTCGATGTTTTATTTGCCAAAAGGGATGCGATCAAAACTCGTGAATAAAAAAGAAGAAGAAGAAGAAGGATATCGACGAACCGCGCGCTGTCGAAGAGTCCATTGTGGCGATTGCTATATAGAATACGAAAAATTCGTTAATCGCCAAAAGCACCATATGAAACAAAGTCAGGTTTAAATTGCATACTCCTAAGCCAATATCTTTGGCCGTTTTTGCTACTGTTTAATAATGTGTTTTGTTCACAATGAATCGCACGAAATAATATAAAATACAAAATGATATTTGGGATGTATTGTGTGGTTTGGATGTGATTTGATATTTGAGGGAGCAAAATGAAATACAAAAAAATAAAAAAAATGATAGATCGTAGCAATGCTATAGAATATCATTGCACAAAAACACATACACATATATATTTATAAATGTGTTTGTGTGTGCATCTGACATTCAAAGACGACAGAAGAAATTTCAAGGTATTAGCTACTGTACAGCGGTTAAATAACGGGAAGTGTCGGATGCCAAATAATATACAAGGTGATTGTATGAATTTCAAACTATAACAAGAATAATGATGAAATCCATCAAGTTCGTGCATGAATTTCTCTCATCAAATGAGTAGCAGACAGAGATAGAAAGAGAAATGAAAAATACTGTTAAACAGGAGACTTTAAAAATGTGTTGAAATGATCGAAATGTATTGTATCTATATCTCTGCCGGAAAGGATATAATGACACGATATTACCGTCATCAATGATGTGCGCTAGGCCATTTTTAAGTTCGAATTAAATACCGTTATTCAATGGGTTTTGATGAGAGATTATGGGCAATTTTATTGAAAATGTATCTAATCACATGAAAAAAAAAAATCTGAACGATTGAAAAGAACGAGAAGGCACGAATGGAGCCTATTTTTGCATTGACACACAACACACAACAAATCCATCTCAAAATCGTAGTAATTTCCTTGAATTCAGAAGGTTCTGTTTCTCGTAAATAATATACATAGTTCAAAATCTAATTTTGATGTGTATTTTTGGCTAGACGATATGTTTTGTCTTTTGCCAGATTTTAAACTAATCAGTATCAAAACACGCATACGAATTGCGGTACGCAGACAAAACGGATGACAAACGGAATGCGAAACAAAAAAAATCACGATATCAACTGAAGACGCATACACGAAATAATGAATAAGAATATTTATTTTTAATGACATGGTGACATGTCTTGTTTGTGTTTCGGTGTGCCGTTTGTTTTCTCTCTTTCGGATTGTCGTGAAATTTCTCTTGTCTCCCATTGCAAAATATGATTAGGTACATGAATCGAATTGAGAGTCATACATCAGAACAATACAAAAAAGAAACAGAACCAAATAAAAAGCGTCCATCGTTGAATATTTGCCGAATGCGAGTGTGTAAAATTTAATAAGCTCACGTCGCTGAATTCAAACTGATACATAAATGTGAATTGTTGATGCAGATGATGCGTATTTATTTATAAGCAATTTCGAACATAAATCAAATTATGCGGCGTTCAACAAACTGCACATTGCACACAAATCATGTTCATGACACAATTATGTCTGAACGACATTTCATCTATTTCGAAATAGGCAATATAATCCTTCGTCGAATTAAATTCAAATCTTCTGATCTGTTCTTTTCTCGGTTTATGTGTGTATGTGAGTTGTTGTTTTTTTTTTATTCGATCACATAGACGCACAAAATTGGAAGTGTTGTTTCTCCAATCTCTTTTTGGCACACATGATTGAGGCGAAAAAAAGGAACATTTTGTGAATACGTGTGATTTTTATATTTCATTAAAAATTAAGCTAAATTTACCATAAATAATAACAGAGTGTATTTTTTCTTTTTATTTCTTCTACCATTTTTACGTTATTTACAGCAGCAGAGCGCAAGATTTCTGGGTCCATCGCGAGAACGAAGTCCCACATTGCCAAATTCATTGGCTGGACAATGTGTTGCAGCTAATAACAATCATCCGTTACATCGGCCGTGTGCGTCATGCTCAACCGATTTATGTGAACATCATGCAACAAGCAAACCATACGGTCCGAGTCCAATATTCAATGATTCTTGTCGAAGGTAACATTTTTTTCGAATTTTTACTTCTGAATTTATTCCCTCATATCGACAACATTAAGACAACAAAAAAATACATATTTCTTGCATTGATGTTGTGAACGGGTATATACAGTAATGTATATTATATGTAGTAAGTGGTTTGCAGCTTTACAGTTGAATGAGAAAATGTTATACTCATCGCACAAAATACACACTCTCTCTCCCTCTCTCGTTGTCTATCTCTTGTCGTTCGCACGCATTTAAGTCATTGCAATAAAATTTAATTAGCATAAATTCGGTGCAGTTTTGGTAGATTAGCCACGAAAAGTAACGAATCGAGTGAAATGCATGTTTTTGCAAAATATTCACCATATAATTTAATTTATTTGCCTATCAACACCTCATTTGAGCTAGTTTCATCCGTGGAAATAGAAAATTTTCTGAAAAATTACCATCAATCACGTCTCAAGCGATTACATGCATTGTAATTAATGACTAATAACTTGCAGTCCAATTAGTCACAATAGTAAACAATTTACATTTTCTTTTTCAATTGTAAAAGGAGCCTTAGAAGTAAATGAAGCAAGGCTCGACCACAACGCCCATTAAATAATAATAAATAAATAAATAAAATGATTTATTTAATACAAGTCTCGATTATAAATAAAGCAAAAATGACGAAAATTTCTTTGCTTGTGGTTTTCTTTAAAATGGCATAGTTATGAACCAACCGATCGATCAATATTCGATGAATCGGGCATCGGATTCACAGATTCGCACATTGACAATCGGATAGAATGTACGGAGTTAGGAAATAGCGGAAAGACTTATGTTCAAATGAAATCCGAACCAGCTGGTGGAGCGAGTAGCCCAGAATCATCAGCAGAAGTTGGCAGTGGACCGGATGATTGTGCTGGATGTGGCCGTTTAATACAGGTACACTTGTTTTATCTAAGAGCAAATTAAAATGTTTTTTATTTATACTTGACGTCAATGCTGTTCAAAGTCTAAGGAACTGATTCTAATCTTCACTTTGTGTGTGTGAATTCGCGTTTTTTTTTTCTCTTTCTCCCTCTCCCTTTTCATCGTAATTAGGATCGTTTTTATTTATCAGCTGTTGAGAAGCGATGGCATGCCGCCTGTCTACAATGCAGGTACCTATAGAGCTTGTTATTGGATCCTCGACTATTTTATTTATGTGTTGTTATTTGTTTTTTCTTCTCCAGTATATGCCAACAGCTTCTTGAAGGTGAAACGTCATGTTTTTCGCGTGGTGGAAATATTTATTGCAAATCGGACTACTACAGGTAGGAATTTTAAACCATTGTACAATTAATTTTCATTTCATTGTTCGATTTCGGTTATGTTGGGCTACTTGTCGCTCAAGATTAAGACAAGGGAAAAATTATCTACACACTATGAACAATAACACACACAACAAACAGAAAATAATTCAAGTGTAAAACAAAACGAAAAATTGAAAACATAAATAAATGAATAAACGAAATAAAAAAAAAAAGAAATAAGAATCGAGTACGTTCAAAGAGAGATAAAAATCTCTCACTGCAATTGATATGCATACAGTCAAATGGTGTCAATCTAATTAACTTATAGCAAAGTTCAATGTGCACGAAAAATGTGAGAAAGAAAAAGAGCAATATAAGAAAACATTCTACATGCACTTGCTCATGCAACCAGCTGCGAGATTCATATCGAGCCACAAAACAACGACAGAACGAACGAACATGAACAACAACAACAACAAAATGGCAATTCATTGGCAAGAAATAGATACAAAAATCATGGAGCGCGATGTAATCGGTTGCCGATCGGATCGGCGTATGTTAAACAAATTATATGTAGCACATAGAGATTAAGAGCGATTCGCTAGGTACAGTAATCGAGAAAGAAAAAAATCACTTTTATGAGAGTGTCGAGTGTGTTATATAAATCTAGCAATCGTATGCGATTCTACTCAAAGATAAAGTAAAATGCATAGATCGGGCACGCTTACCATCATGCACAGGAGAAAACGAGACAAAATCAAATAGATAGATGAAGAGTGAAAAGGAATTAAAAAGAAATCAATTCATTTAACATAAGCATTCAAAAGATATAGACGACGACATCGTGTCGATTTGCCTATTCATCGCTTTTGGACGTTATTTTTTTATATGCAAACACATAAAATGGAACGATTGATAGATCTCAACACCAAAACTCAATGCAAAGTAGATCTGTATTGAACTCATTTTAACGCTAGCATGCATGCATTGCAAACACTACATAAAATTGACAGAATGGTCTCGACAAAAATACCAAAACACAAGGGAAACCATTTTCAACCTGCAAACGATCATGTTAAAAATGGATTTTTCACTGGTAGCACACTAAAACGCTGGTGATGTTTTTGCCATTTCCATTGCACCGTACACCTTGTGTAAAACACACCAAATTATCACTGAAGAAAAGTTTATGGTGAACACGACATGGCACTTCACAATTCACAGCCAATATCAGAGTTTGAAACGAAAAAAACCATCCTATTGCATACGCTTCGGTTTCGCCATTTCGTTTTCTTTCTTGAACGCAGCCCAAATAAATGTGGCAAACGGCAACTTGTGCACTTTACTAAGAGCGTGTTAGTTGATGTGTTCACGGCGTGATTTCCGCAAATTCATCAATTTGATACATTTCATTTTGGCCATGGCACAAAACTTTATATGCACGTTTTCCACACGCATCAGCAACGGTAGCACCAGCATGTGCAAATGGATTTCTGTTCGCGTAAAATGCGAATTCAAAAGCAAGAAAAAAAAAACACTGAAATGAATGAAAGAAATGAAATCAATGCACCTGTCTTGGACACTTCGAGCGTGTTTTCATTCAATTGTAAATATTATTGATTTCGCTGTCTGTTCATTTCAATACATTTCACTTTAATTTCATCGTTTGAAATTGATATTTCAAAAGGATTTCAACCATATAGTAAATTATTGTTGCAAATTGAAACGAGCGTACACTGTCACATTTGACAGTAATTACAATAATTTGTCCACAATTTTGTTGGTCTGAAAAACGATTCTATACATTTAACATTAATTCACAATTGAATTTTGCAAGATAAAGGTATTTATAATTCGTGCAATTTATGCTTTCTCTTTGTTCAAATAATTCGAGAGCACAGCAATAGCAGTGAAAAGGGAAAAAACATTTAATCAAATTGAAATGTACAGTTTATCTGATATAATTATGTAAATTTGATATAATTTCAACTAATTTGTTATTATCGTTTGCATTTGATTTTCTATTTTATCAAAGACGGATGGAAAGGAGACGCACGAAACTATTTTCAAACAAATCGGCGATTCGTTATTAATTGAAATTTAATTTCGGTTGGTTGTTCGCTAAATTTGGAATAGCCAATTCATGAATGCATTTCAAATGAATGCCGTAATTCACATTTACCGTTTATAAACATATCATTTCTATTTCATCGATGTTATTTTTTTAATTGTGTATCAGAACAAAAAAGAGAGGAAATGTTTGTGAGTTTTTATTCTACAAAAATATTTTTTAAAAAAATCTGGTTTGAATGCGGAATATTATTTGTGCGAGTAACATTCAATTACAAATAAATCACTTTTATATGATTTAGCTAAGTTTAAAGTATGATTTTGTTGTAATTAATCTTGGCGATAGAGTGTGTCGTGGTTTTTTTGGCTCTTGTTCTCTCTTCAACTGTGTTTTTTGTGGTTTATCATCGTTTGGCCAATGTAAGTGTAAATACATGTCTCGAAAATGCAACAATAATACAACCAATGATGGAATCTATTCAATATATAGAATAGCCAATGAAATTCGAATGAAATTGTGCTAAAAAATGTATCATGAACTAAAGCAGGTTAAAGAATATTTCAAGCTAGCAAAAATTGTGCAACGCAACACAGTTCTGAGAATCGCGCTACATCACTTTGATCACTTTACCGGAAAATAATTGAATCTGAATGCGTATTCAATGCATTTTAAGTAGAGACAGAGTAAGATAGAGAAGAAAAAGAAGAAGAAGAACAGAAAAAAATATGGTGTAGATAAATGTGAAAATGCGATCATCGCACACAAGAAAATAAGAATATAATCGGTTAAACTGAGCAATCAAACAAGCAAACGCACATTTTTCATAAAAAATTCTCCTTTCGAACAAAAAACAATGAAAGCTGATTGGTTGGTGCACTCACTTTGGAAATTATTGCATAACCTTCATTTTAATTTGAAAAATGAATTGTTTCGACGTGTATCTACTACGAGTCGATTTCTTACTCTCGCTCTTTCTTTTTTCTCAATCTTCTCTTTTTTTTTGTATGCATTAATTGTTGTTCAAAAATTGCGCGTTTCGCCACGATCATAATTGAGTGCATTTTAAATGCGAAAATATTTTGCTGCTGCCAGTTTTAATTATGTTTATGATAATAAATTTCATTTTCACTAATTGATAACAAAATAACATGAATTATGTATATATATTTATTTATATATATATATTTGAGCGCGCATTCGCGCACACATTCATTATGTTCGTAGCGCAATTCAACGCTTGTAAAATGGAACAATAATAACAAAGAATTGGCGTTCGTTCAGTTGAAACGATGTGCAAATTTATTTAACGATGGTATATATGACGTTTTGTTCCGGAACATGTTTTTAAATCAAAAAGGATCCATTTTTTACGCCTTTTCCGAGTTTTTCTTTTAAAAAAATCCAAAATTCCAGAAATAAGTTAAAAACTAAGTTTGTTTGTTGCTTTTTTATATATGTATGAAGAAGCAATAAATTATGTCGCTATATTTCGTCTTAAATCAGAAACATCTTAACCGATATCATCGCAGGCGCGTTAAAAAATGTTTACGAAAAAAGCAACAACAAAGTTGTTTTTTCTTGTATAATGTAAATAGAGTATGGAATATGTGTGTGCAGACATAAGTCCATGGCAAATGAATGGGCAATTGCGTTTATTCTTAGCAAGTATGCGTGTGAAGTGTGTAGCAGCTCGAGCTCGCCGAGCTTGCCTGATCTCTTTCGTCCAAATGTGTGAGCGCAAATATATAATAACATCTCGCCGGTTGTTGTTTCTCTTTTCCATTAACCTTCCGTATGTGTGCCAACAACGAGATACAGAATAAAAAATTACACCAATTACTACTTCCGTTTAGACTAATTAGGAGGAGAAGAAAGAAGCATACACACTCACATTGAGCGAAAAAGATTCCATGTCAAGCACACAATCTCAATGACAGCACCTTATTCGACGTGAGTGTGTGTGTGAGCACAGTGTCTTTTTATCTTCTTAAAGTTTTGTGATTGAGACTTTTCTGTGTTCCATTGGAATTTGCTTTTATCGTAACTCTCTAAGAACTATTCTAGCGACGGCTTGAGGAGGAAGACGACAAAAACGGCGGCACCAAAAGAAAAGGCAACGCCGGAACGAAAATGCAACTTAAACAGATTTAAAAGAGAGAAAAAAAGTAAAGCGCGATACTGTCGGCAGTAAAGTCACACATTTCAATTTACCATTTCTTTAAGATATTTTGCGAATGTGAACGCGTAACATGCGGGCGCCCAACCAAAATGCGCTCGCGCACATTTACATTTTATCCGAACACAACACTTGACTTCTCTTATTCGCATCGATGTTTCCTTACATTTTCTGACATGCCACTTCCACTGACTCCAACCACAAGTATACCGTTATTGACTTATACTATCATTTGCAAGGCGAGCGATGAATATATACGTTTCTTTTTTAAAAGTTTAGATTTTTCGAGTATTTAATGAACGGAATGCAAAAATGTGCACACAAACATACACATATTCACAAATTGTATAAGTATCTCACATGATTAAAATGATGATCCATACACACACACACACACACGCACATTAGATTCGACGAGAGTGCTACACTCACTTTTTAAGTGCTCTGTCTTTCGTGAGCACATTCAAATTTGTTTTGTATTTTTGTCGGTGTGAGCATATTTGGCTCTCATCATAATTTAACGGTAAATTACTATAAAAATGGAGTGCTTTTTTGTTGTTCACCCATCTTTGCCGGAATTATCAAAACGAAGCAATTCTCTCTTTTATGCAAAAAAAAATTATAACTTTAATCGTAAAATCGCGCATACTTTTGAATGTTTCATTTTTATAACGTGCACACGAGAAAGAGAAAGAGAGAAGGAGAGTCTTTTGTATGCGATAAGAGTCACTATTTCGTTATTTGATCAACATAATCACACACAAAATCTTACAGCCAC